AGAAAAACTCCGATGTAGTCTATTCTGCCTTTCCCGGCTGCTGCAGAAAGAATGGCATGCTTGCCACAGGTTTGCTGGGACAGATACACAAAACTTACAGATGATCACTTTAGAGAATCTACTTAACAATTAGTGTGGCAAATTTAGCACTCCCCCCCCTTTACTGAGACAGAATTTCATAGTAATATAACCTGTCCTCAAACTCACGGTTATCTTCCTGCCTCGGTCTCCCAAGCGCCAGGGTTACTGGTGTGAGCTGCCATGTGCAGCTTACATGACAAAGTGTGATTTCATATTTAATGTTCCATAGCTTTGCTGGGTATCCTGCCCAAGAGCAGGGATAGAACGTCTTGCTGAGGGTCAGTCAAGTGTGCTCTTCCCTTGCTGAGTGACAGTCAGATACCCGTACTGTGCGGTTGCCTTGCTGGAAAAGCAGGAGCAGCAACAGCACACACTGATCAGAGATTAGAAACACAAAGTGGTGCTGGAGAGATGGCTCAGGGGTTAAGAGAGTTCAATTCCCAACAACCACGTGGTGGCTCACAACCACCTATAAAATCTGGTGCCCTCTTCTGGCTTGCAGGGATTTATGCAGGCAGAATACTATATACATACTAAACAAAAATCCTTAAAAAGTGGGGGAAAAGGAGAAAAACACACAAAGCACTTTGTGCGTGTCTCATGGAGCATGACGGTCACCTATCACAGGAACAAACTGCTGCTGTGTCTGTGGGGGGTTATCAGCGTGTAATCAGATAGAGCTAATGCTACTTAGTGGTTTAAAACACACAGTACGGCCATAACTTCACTTTTCTCTTTTCTTCAGCCAGAGAAGCAAAGAGTCACGGAAATTCAGAACGACTCATCAGACCAGAACAGATGCCGGGCTTCTGAGGAAGGAAACAAGGGGATCCCAGAGAGGCCTGTACCAAGGCATGCTCCTGGACACAGGCGGATGGTCCGCCGGCATACGGTCAATGACGCAGCCATACCCCAGCTCCCAGAGACGACTGGCCACCTGAGCACCCAAGAGGGTGGTGTTTCTCAATCTTAGCAGTAAGGGGCTGGTAAATCTGCTACCAAGACGTGAGTTTGCAGTAAGATGGTGAGCATGGATGCAGCTTAGAACTAAGCGTTCTTTAAATAACCAGCTTGAGAGACCGTCCCTTGGATTTACCACCCTCTCTCTTCCAAGCTAACTAATATACTTGAAAAGGAGTAAGAGGGAGTGAATGAGCCCCTTCAGCTTAGGATTTGGATTTCCTGGTTATGAGCAAAGGCTTCACACCATCAGATTCTGATCTTTGGCTGGAAGGTGCTGGGTGTCTGTGGTGTGGATAAGCGGGCAAACCCTATGCTAGAAAGATCCTCATGGCCGGGAGACGTCAAGAGAAGCAATGCCAGTCCTGTGGAACTGGATGCCAGGCGGAGAAGCATCCTGTTGGGATGAAGAAATGGAACCTGGAAACACTTTATCTGGGAAGTGCCTGAATGCCATTTTGATGTCCATCCCACTGAAAAGGACCTGCCATTTTGCCTTGTTCTACACATGTATGGGGAAGGTTGGCCGTCACTTTCCCAACAACAGACCCTTGGGTCACTGCACATGTGCCCCTACAGCAGTTCCTGCTCACACTCCTTTCCGTTAAGAGCCTCCCCGACAGCACACCTGACGATGGGCACCGGAGAGCAGCTTTGGCACATCTTCAATCTTTTGATTCAAATTCAGAATTTACAGCACAAGCCAGGTCAGAGTTTAAGTTAGAATTCATTGCCATTAATTCCTTTTTATAACTTTCTATAGATTCTATTATTTTTTTATGTTCCTGATCCTAAAGTTGCAAACATGGGTTCATCCTGAGTCCGTTTTCAGAGGACTTTGTAAAGAGGAAATGACTTTGTGCACACTCTTGGAGATCTGTGCGGATGTATAGAAGGGAGGGGCTGATTATTTTTCTACAAAGTAATTTATGATTTCTAATTTTCTAATGTGCCTTGGATATGTGCCAAATGATGGAAACGAAAACAGTAAACTCTATGATTCTTGAGCATGTGATGTAAGCTTTTTTATTCTGTTGTGTAGTTCCTCAGCCACCCTTCTGTAAACCTCTTGTGAAAATTCCCCCCCGAGGGAGATGGAATTTGCCTATTCCTTTTTCCTGAGGTCCCAATGACAAACCAAGATATGATTGATTACACTGGAGTTCACTCTGGGGAATGGAGTTTATTGAGCTTGAGCTTCCTTACAGAGCAATGGGTGAGAAGCCTTAAAAGTAGTCACACTGGAAGGTCATGGATGAGGAATCATGCCTGTGTAGATGGAGCCCCCTGCCCTAGTCTTTCCTTGCCTTTCTATATATGCATGCCAGCCCCTCCCAGAGGCCATGTGCAATCGCAGGCTGGAGGAGGAGGTTACATGACTGTCACACTCACTCCTACCGTAAAGGAACAGGAACATTCAACACACCCACCCAGCCGCAACGATGAACATGGTGTAGTCTGGCTGAGGGGACAGTCCTGCACAACACCATGCTGTGTGAAAGCAGTCCTCACTGGACAGATGCAGTGTCTCCTGTGAGTCACTAGCACACTCACCTCCGTCACACAGCGCAAACCATCGCCCATGCACCCGCTCAGGATCGATGCAGTGAAGATGGCTCAATGTTTGCCCACAGACACTCCTGGTTTACTTAAGTTACCCAGGCTAGCCTTGCTTTCCCAAGGAGCTGGGACTACATACAGGTCTGCACCAGCACAGGAAACAGGAAAAGAACGAATCTAGCCTCCTGGCACAGAATGAGCATGGGTGCTCTCTGTTGGTTTGTTGATTCTTCTCTTTCCCACTTAATGAGAATGGGTTTTGGCCTACTTTTCTGTGTGACTCATGACCACACAGGAAAGAAAAGGGCATCAGACCCCCTGAGACCAGAGTTCTGGGTGGTTGTGAGGTGCCCTATGGGTGCTGGGTATCCCGTCCAGACCCTCTGAAAAATGGCCAGTGCTAACAACTGAGCCATCTCTCCAGCCCTTCCTTTTTCATTTTTAACAAACCCACGTTATTGATGTGTGCTGCTCTAGCTCTGTGACCTCATGGTTCATCAGGGCAGATTCTAAAGAGGCAGACACAGGCAGCTGAGCGGAGTTTCAGCTTAAAGGGCGCAGGCTCACTTGCCAACCACTGCACTGAGTACTGGAGCAATTATTCTTCCATGTGTTTCTGCAGTTGCTTTCCCCACTTAAAATGAAATGTTGACATGGCCATTAAAATTGGCAATACTCAAACCTGTGTTGTTTGTAATTCCAAGTACTGCCAGTGCCCTGCCTGCAGGCTGACTGCACACAGCATGTTAGCTGTCTCAGAACCCCATCCTTGCACAGTCAACTTTCCATTCCCATCACACCTCATGCACCGGGACTGGTGACTGTAAGGAAACATGTAACAAAACTTGCAGAGACATGTCGGGTATCTTTCTATCATTTCATATCAATGAGCCATAAAGCAAATTTGAAGTAGAACTGGTAATCTGAAGATGTGCACTGTTTACATAGTACCGTGTTCAGTTTCCAGCATCACAAAGACCAGGTGTGGTACACTTATGTAATCAGAGAGCACCAGAGATGTGAAGGCAGGAAATCATCAGTCTGAGATTATCCTTGGCTAAATGGAGAGTGGAGACCAGCTTTGACATAACAGCAACAACAAACCCGAACATATTCAACAAAACCCTCTGGACGAAAACCACCCACAGGGGGCTGGAGAGATAGCTCAGAGGTTAAGAGCACTGGCTGCTCTTCTAGAGGTCCTGAGTTCAATTCCCAGCAACCATATGGTGGCTCACAACCATCTGTAATTTGATCTGGTTCCCTCTTCTGGCATGCAGACAGAACACTGTATAAATAATAAATAAATAAATTTTAAAAAAACCACCCACAGACCCCGTCAGCAGATCGACCGCGATGGTGCAGTCAAACTGACAATTCACTTATCTGTATTTTTTTGATTTATTTTTATCATGTATGTGTTTGTGTGCTTATAAGGGGGTTCACGTGTAGGTTTCTGAGGCTAGAGGATGTCTGATCCCCTGGAGCTGGAAGTACAGGCTGTTGTGAGCTGCCCAACATGGGTGCTGGAAAAAGAACTGTGTCCCGAGCTGGCCGGCACGGAGCCATCACCCTAGCCTACTCCTCTACTGTCCTCAGTGACAGTAAACATGTCACTGTCCAACAGTTACCCCAGGACGTCTTAGTTATTTGCAGAAGTGCCACTCTAGTTGTTTTAGATCAGAATGGTATTTGTTGGATAAGTAAACTCAACACCTGGAAAGTAAAATAAATCAAAAGCTGGGAATTTGAAATGCTACCTACAGGAAAAGGAATCATCCCTGCTTCTACAAGTTCTGCTTAAAGAATGCTGGATATACTCAGATCTTTTTTTTTTTTTTTTTTTTTCCTGGTTTGTCAAGACAGGGTTTCTCTGTAGCTTTGGAGCATATCCTGGAACTAGCTCTTGTAGACCAGGCTGGTCTCGAACTCACAGAGATCCGCTTGCCTCTGCCTCCCAAGTGCTGGGATTAAAGGCATGTGCCACCATTGCTCAGGTTACTGTGCTCAGATCTTAAAGCAAATTCGGCTGCCCAGAGTTTCGCTCCCCTGGTGTCTCTGGCTGCTGAAGCATGCTGGCACAGCTCCTATTTCTCCACCCATGTTAACTTCCCAGCTGCAAAGGGTAAACTTGCACAGCCACCATTTAAAAGCTTTTGGAAGGAAGGGAAAATTATTCCAAATGCAGATCTTATTGAATTGCCTGTGATTCTGAAACACCCCAACTGCTTTAGTTTGAGTAACAAGTTTATTTTTCAAAAGGCATATATAGACAATAAACAAAGTAAACACTTAAAAGGTTGTAACTGCCCTAGATGCTGCTCTGTAAGTCTAAACATTTCCTCTTAGTAATCATCATCTTCATCGGAGTCCATTACTTTTCTTCTGTTGAACTAGGGGAAAATTAAATGAATGTCAGACACTTTCTAAAGCCTCCAATTTTCTGAGAAAAACATTTTTAATTACTCAAGTGAGGCTTCTTTGTGTGCGTCTTTGAAACAACTTAGTAAGTGAAGAGGAGTAATTAGAGGTAAGAATCTTAACATTACACTCTCCACGTAGCCAGACTGCTCCCAACCCCATCAGAGAAATAAGTGTCTAAAAGCTCAAAGGCACTGATTGCTCAGGCGCACACTGAAAACGACACAGCCGCGCCCTCTGCCATGCACGCGGGGAACTTACTTTAACTGTTGTTTTCTTTTCTGTCTGTTGGCTGACTTTCTCAAGTATTTCTATTAAACCTTGTTCTGACACCTATAACCAGAAAGAAAAAAGTGTTTCAAAGCATACAACATCTCTAAGCAGACCAATCATGGTAAAGTCTCTCCTTTCTCCAAGGTGTAGGAATAGATCAGGAGGGAAGTAGAAGGACAGCTCAGGAAAGTGAGTGGGTTTAAGGCCATCTTTGTCACTGCTAGCAAAGCAATGAAAGGTCACAGGTATGGATGGATAATGCCAACTCTGCCCAGACCACCCCAAAGACAACACACTTAGAAAAGACCGAAATCCTCAGAAAAGCTGGTTCTTTCCAGCTCCAGCCCAGTGCAGACAGGGCTTGTGTGGCCACTTGAAACTTGAAGACTAGACTTCACAAATAGTTCTTCACGGTGATACAGCAGACATACATAGAGACACACGTGAACCAAGGACTTCAACCTCCCCTCCCAAGTGCAAAAAACAGCCGAGCTTCTGCAAACACTGTTGGTGTTTTAGTTGATGTTGACAAACCCTACCTCCAGTGCAGGAACAATTTAAGGCTGGTGACTAATAGTCACTGAGTCACACTGATACAAATGATATTCCACACAATACCAGGAAAGGAGAGAGCTGAGCATTTTAGGACAGGCAATCATCACAAGATTTACAGTGGGGTGACTATTCTCTCCTTTACAACTTTTTTTTTTTTTTTTTTTGGTTTTTCGAGACACGGTTTCTCTGTAGCTTTGGAGTCTGTCCTGGAACTCGCTCTTGTAGACCAGGCTGGTCTCGAACTCACAGAGATCCGCCTGCCTCTGCCTCCCGAGTGCTGGGATTAAAGGGTAGACCAGGCTGGTCTCGAACTCACAGAGATCCGCCTGCCTCTGCCTCCCGAGTGCTGGGATTAAAGGCGTGCGCCACCACCGCCCAGCTCCTTTACAACTTTTTGAGTCAGCAAGAATTCTATATTCAAATACAGAATTTGGTACAGTTTTAAAAATTCAAGTGTATAAATATTTTGCTACAATGTATCTATCTATATGCACCATAAGCATTTATGGAAATCAGGGCACTGGATCTGCTGGAGCTGGAGTTACAGGCAGTGGTGAGCTGCCTGGTGCGGGTACTAAGAACCAAGCTCCAGTCTTCTGCGAGAGAACAAGCACTGTAACTGCTGAGCCATCTTCCGGCCCCACAGCCAGGCTTTCAGACTATAGGCAACGCCACACTCCTTCAGACAGTCGGGGCTTACCTTCCCGCTTAGCTGTCCATACCGAGCCATCTGTATAAGGTAGTTCTCTACTGCTTTAGTTTTCTCAGGCTTTACAAGTGCTAAATTACTTACTAAAAAACAAAAAACACAAAAGAAGCATGAAGATTAAATGCACTAACTATACCTTCAAACTACCCACTGACGCTTCCAAAGTATTTCACAAGCTTATGTCTGTCGACAGCAAAGGGCAGTTAGGGCAGACAGTACAGTCAGCCTCTCAGTCTCAAGACAGTCATTCAGTACGGTGGGAGAGCCAAGGCTACACTTGAGTTCTCAGGTTCTAATCTACTTCTGGTCATGAAATGACGGCATGATCCATCTACAGCGGCCTCCTCTAAACAGAGGCTGGACTCGTTTACTCTGACTGGTTCATTCTTTCCTTTCTATGTTTCTAGATTTTACTATAAAAACTGCAGACATAGCACTAAAACCCAGAATACAATCAACCCCTAGCCCCCACCACAACTCTGACTGTTCAAAAGTCAACCCTTAAAGCCTTCTGAAAATGTCCCCAAGAGACATCTTCCTAAGGCAGGGAATGTGCTTCAACAGTAGTAACTCTCTCCAGGGTTACAACTGTGAACTTCCGGACAACGTATCTCCAGTACTTTAAAAGACTGCCCTGTCAAGAGCAGTGACTCCATGTATGTATTCACCCATCCAATTACCTCAAGCCAATTTTATGGGGATAAAGGAAATTGAAGATGCTTACACCTGGCCCGGGCTGACTGATCCAGAACTTGGGCTAAGATACTGTTTCTCATTTCTGCTTCCCTATAACAAAACAAAGGTCACACAAGATTAGAACTGAGCTGTCAGCATGCTGAGTACAAAGTCATTTATTCAATGCCTCTTTAAAAGATTCTTTAATTTATTTACTAGGGGTAGCACAGGCCTCAGAGTACATATGGAGGCTGGAGTTCTCACCTCTCACCATGTGGGTCCTGAGGACTTAGCTCAGATCATCAGGCTTGGTGGCAAGTGCCCCTCCCTATTGAGCCATCCAGCAGGCCACTATGAGACACCTGTGGTTCAGACTGCACGATGCTAGGTGTTTTTGCCTTCTAAGAGGCAGCTCTGTGGTGTAAACCTATCAGAATGGCAGCCCACTATTTCACGCAGTATATCAGTGCAACAAAGATTAAGTACCTAGTGCAACACGTGCTGCGCATCTGTAGTGCGGTCTTGGAAGTTAAGAGAGAACAGGTGTGCTTTCTTTAGGGAGGATACAGAAACCTGGGAGACTGAAAAACTGTGGCCGAGGTAGAACCGGATCCTGTGACTTCTAACTCTGCAATTATTCTTACTTCCTCTTGAATACGCAAGTAGGAACCATGGCGTACTACTTTCAAACTTCTAAAGAGATAAAGCTTGGCTACAGAGCTCAAGCTGGCTTGGAATTCACTGTGTGGCCATGGCTGGTCTTCAACTCCTCAACTTCTTCAGTTTCCCAAGTGCTAGGATCACAGGTCTGTGTTACCTCACCCTGCGTTAAGACTCGAAGTAGGAGTGTATTTGGTTGTTTTTTACTCTTTGCTCTTTTTGACTCTTTGTGAAGGCCTGTCACCCAGCTCCCAATTACAGTTTTATTCTTACTTATGAATGCACAGCCTTAGCTTGGCTTCTTTCTAGCCAACTTTTCTTAAATTATCCTGTCCATCTTTTGCCTCTAAGCTTTTGTATTTCTCTATTCTGTGTACCTTTCTTTCCTTCTTACTGCATGGCTTAGCTGTGTAGCTGGGTGGCCGGCCCCTAATGGCCTCCTCCCTTTTCTCATTGCTTCATCCTCTCCTCTCAGATTTCTCCCATGTATCCTCGCTCCCTGCCAGCTCCACCTAGCCTTTCTCCTGCCTGGGAACTGGCTGTTCAGTCCTTTATTAGAGCAATGAGGTGTTTTAGACAGGCAAAGAAACAGCTTCACAGAGTTAAACAAATGCAACAAAAAAAAAACATTAAAGCAAATGTTCCGCAGCATAAACAAATGTAACACTTCTGAAAATAATATTCTATAACATAGGTGACTTAAAATATTTCTCCAAGGCAACCATCCAAGTAACCTACTAGACAGACAGTAGCGACGTGGTCTGGCAGAACAGCTGGGGCTAGTTGTGCCCACTAGCAAGGGCTTTGGAAACTGGACTTACACTTTATTTCCTCAGGTCATTTTCTCAGAGTTTCTGAATCTAACTAAGATGCTGTGGATTACAAGACACGTCAGTCTGTTTTCGCCATACTGGTACTCGAACCTAGAGCTCTGCAGATGCTGGAAAATACGCTACCACTGCGCTACATCCCCAGCCCCTCTTCATTTTCGTTTTCCAGTTTGAGGCAGGGTCTTGCTAAGTTACCCAAGCAGACTGAACGTGAGATCCTGTCTCAGCCTCCAAAGCAGTTGAGACTAGATGCATGCATGGGCTTTATGTATGTACTCAAGGGAGTGAAAAAGAGACCCTAATGAGAGATCCTGAGTCGAGAAGGAAAATGAAACCAGCTCCTCGGGAACATGGGCTTAGAGGTTTAACCTTGCAGGCTGCTATCTGAATTTACACTACCAGGGAAGAGGGAGTGGGGAACAAGGAACCACTTGACTGAGCGCTATGATTTGAAGTACACCCCAGGAAGGGAAGAGGCAAAAGTAGGGTGTGTCCACCCATCAAATGTATGTTTGTACTTGTGTGAAAGTGCTCTGCCACGCGCAGGGGTAAAACGGCAGGGACGTTAATGTTGACTGAACACTTATTGTGAGGGTTACTGGGTTGAGACATCCCTATGAAGTAATTCTATTATTATCCTTAGAGAGGCATCAGGCAAAATTTCAAAACAAGGCATTAAGGGAATGCCAAGAGTATTTACCGAATCAAACTAAAAAGGGAACTACCCTGATGTGAACAGACTTAGTAAATCACTCCTTAGGAAACCTGTTAAGAGTCAAACCAAGGGCTGGAGAGATGGCTCAGTGGTTAAGAGCATTGCCTGCTCTTCCAAAGGTCCTGAGTTCAATTCCCGGCAACTACATGGTGGCTCACAACCATCTGTAAAGAGGTCTGGTGCCCTCTTCCGGCCTGCAGGCATACACACAGACAGAATATTGTATACATAATAAATAAATAAAATAAATATTAAAAAAAAAGAGTCAAACCAATTACAACGACTAAGTGAAAAAGACAACCTTCCAGAAAGTTCCAACTCTGGCTCATACCTTTGTTTTGCTTCCTGTTGGGCTGCATCACCAGGATCCTGAAATTAAAAAAAAAAAAAAGATAATTTTACCTTTTCATCGAGTAGAGTTTCAAATGAGGAAAGAAAAATAGAAGGTACTGCGGGGGTGGGAGAAAGGGTGATGTGACACACATCCAAAACTCCAGTTAGCGCAGGAGGACCTCAAGTGACAGGCCAGCCTGGGCTACAGGCAGAGACCCTATCTCTAAAGAAAACAAAAGATCAAATAAATGAAAACAAAAATAAGGGGTTTATTAGATTTTCTTTCTGCTATGATCGACTCCTGGGGTGGAAACTAGGCCTCACAAAAATCAGTGAGTCGATTTCCATTTGCAATGTTTTGTTTTATTAAATACGGAAGGGCTGAGGGTGGACCCCGGGAGAACGGAAGGAGGGTGTCGGACAGACCAGGATGGCAGTGTGGCCCAGTCTAACCCCCCCCCAGCCCCACATTTACAAAGTGAGGACGAGTTTCTAAAGTCACAATCTGATAAAATGTTTGGGAACACACACATTCCCTGGAGAGGCCCTGAACCACGGAGCCCTACTTCTGCCAGTAAGAAGACTGTCTGAAGACACCCTGGCTTGGCCCGAGGGATGCTGGTTCAAAGGGTGCTGCCACCGAGACCACCCACCATCACTGGCGATGGCCCTGAGACGCGTTTCCAGCCCACTACTCCCTCCTAGACGGCGCCGCGGGGGCTGGGCACCGACTTCTGACTCCCGCCGGGGACAGGCCGCCGTCGGGCCGGTGTCCTCCGCGTTCAGGGGTCAGAGCCCCCCCCCCCCCACGGTACTGACTTCCGGTCAGCCAGACCGAATCCCAGACGACCAGAATTCCGACAGGGTTGGCATCAGGCTCGACGGAGGCCAAGGCCGAGATGTGGGGGCGACCCGAGGGCGCGCACACCCCGACCCGCACAAGGCCCACGCGGGACCCCGCGCGACTCGGAGCGGCTGAGGCGACCTCCGGGACATCCCCAATCCCGCACACACAAGGAGATATGGGGGGGGGGCGGGGAGCCGTGGTCCACGAACCGACGCTGGGAGCCCTTGCCCGGGGCGAGGGCGGCGCCCCAGCAGCCCGCCCGCTCACCCCGTGCTTGGCCTGCAGCTCCGCTAGCCTCTGCTTCCTCAGCGCCTCGAGCTCTTCGTCCGCCATGGCGCGGCCGTCCCACGTCGCGCAGCCGCAGCCGCCGTCGGGGGTCACGCAGCCGCACCGACAACCCCGAGGGTCCACCCGAAGGGGCGCTCCTCAGCGCGAGTCCCACGCCCGCTACTGCGCAGGCGCGAGGGGCGCTCAGGCATCAAAGATAGAGTCCCGAGCCGCGGCTGCTCCGCCCCTGCCAGGGCGCCTTGCAGAAGACCGATGCTTCGATGATAGGCGGCACAGAGCCGCTCTAAGAGGATGCTTCTTAACCCCTCCTCGAAATCGTCTAGTTATAAGTCATCGATTAGCAAGGATAATAATTAGTGCAATTTACTCATAGCTTCCATGAGGAAACGCGGGGGCTTGGAAAGGCGAAGTGGGAATTGGACATGGTCTAGATAGAAGTGGATTGTGGCGATGGTAGCACATTTTTTACAGACACTAAAACCTAGTTGATTGTTTCTAGCGGATTGAGACGCGTAACTGTGAGGAGAAAGCGGAAGAGAATACCTGGCCATTAAAAAAAAAAATCAGTGAAAGCAAAGTCAGATGGAGGCTGGGATGGGGATGCAAATGATCTCCAGAGATTGACGATGGGGCCGTGCTGCAAAAGTGCAAAACTCCTTGATGGATACCCTGACTGCCTTACCCCCGCCCCCAGGCCCTTCTCCGAGAAGATGCTGTGGGTGTGTGAACTCTGTCAGTACACACACACACACACACACACACACACACACACACACCTTGCTTTTGAAGTGGGGGGTCGCGGTATGGGGTGGAGCGGCTGAAAAAAAAAAGCGCAGTTCTCCAGTCCTGTGACTTACTTGAGGTGTACATATTTTAATTATGCCAAAATCTATACCTAACCATTTTCATTGTGTGTGTGTGGGGGGGGGGGGGTGCTTGAGAACCTAGCGTCGGATCCCAGCAGCTGGAGTTCCAGGCAGTTTTGAACTACTTGACAGAGTGTTGGGAATCGAACTCTGATCCTCTGGAATAGTAATACACACTTTTAACCACTGAAGCATCCCTCCAGCCCATCGAATACCTACGTCCACTGTTGAGCAATGATCACTCTACATATAACTTTTCATCGCCACAAACTGGCGCTCCAGTCACAATGCTGTATTATTCATTTCCCCTATTCCCATCCCAAAACAAGCAATACTCCTTCTGTCTCTGTGAAGTTGACTTCTCATGCAATATTTCTCAATGTGTGACTGGCATATTTGGTCAGTCATCGAACCTTCAAGTTTTTAATTCGTGTTGTACCATGTGACAGAACTTCATTCCTAACTAGACTTAGTCGTATTTGCCTATCAACTCTGCCAATCCAGGGGCGTCTGAGGCAGGGGAATCTAGAATTGGACACCAGCTTACCACTACAGAGTGAGACTTTGTCTCCAAACAGACAAGTTCTCCCCTCCTCTACTGCATTGCTTTTGTGGCTGAACACACCCACTGTGTAAAGCACATTCGGTGCCTGCATCCGTTTGGCCTCATTTTCACTTTGTGTCTGTGGTAGGTAAAGCTCTTATCAATATTGGTGTGCAATGCCAGGCTGCAATCCTGCCTTCGGTAGGTTTAAATATATAGTCATGGGTAGGGGAACTGCTGCATCTATGCTGTGTTTGTTACTGGTGCTCTGAATGAAAACGACCCCCATACGCTGGGGGGGGGGCACAATTAGGAGGTGTGACCTTGTTGGAGTAGGTGTGACCTTGTTGAGGAAGCCTGTCGCTGGGGCTCTGAGGTTTCAAGTGCTCAAACCAGGCCCAGTGTCATTTTCCCTGCGGCCTTCTGATCCATGTGTAGAGTTCTCAGCTACCTCTCCAGCACCGTGGCTGTCTGAACTACGCCATGCGTCCTGCCATAACAGTAGACTAAACTGTCAGCCAGCCCCATTTAAATGCCTTCCTTGATAAGAAAGTGCTACATTCATTTATGCTGTGGAACATTTGTTTCCTGATGCAAAGATGTGTCGCGTGCCTTTCTGCCGCATTTGTTTAACTCTGTGAAGCTGGGTCGCTTTGCCTAAAACACCCCCACCTGATTGCTCCAATAAAGAGCTGAAAGGCCAATAGCAAGGCAGGAGAGAGAAATAGGCTCAGCTGCCAGGCAGGGAGAATAAATAGAAGGGGATGAAGAGAAAAGGGAAGATGAAGGATGGAGAGAAGAAGAGGCCGGCCACCCAGTCACACAGCCAGACAGAGGGTAAGAAGGAAAGAAGAGACACAAAAATAGAGAAGGGTACAAGCCCTGTGGCAAAAGATAAACGGGATAATTTCAGTTAAGGAAAGATGACTAGACACAGTCAAGCCAAGACCAGGTGTTTATAGATAATAAGTCTCCGTGTGTATTTATTTGGGAACTGGGTGATGGGCCCCTCAAAGAGCCCCTCAAAGAGAGTTAAAAAAAAATTCAGACACCTCTGGCCTCCACATTCAGGCATGTCTAAACACACAAGTACACCCTAGTGTGGCAGATTTTCCCTAGGAAGACACAGTATTCATCAATTTAGCCCAGAAAGGGACCCATGAAAACAGACCAAATTAATGATTGCACCAAAGTCCAACTCTGTGGATCTTTGCATTTTTACTGGGCTCACAGACAGGAGGATGTGTGAGGATGAGAAGTCCACCCCAGGATGGGTGATGGGGACCCATGAAAGCTGCAACCCTGGAGCTCTCTGCACAACTTGGAGGCAGTGTCTAGGCCTGAGAACCCTCTCAGGGCCAAATCAGCTCATCTGGGGAGTCTCCCCTCCCACCAGGTGACGTTTGCCCAGACAAGACAGTTTGTTTACTTCTATTGTGTTTGGAATGAGAAATGTGCCCCATTGACTCATGTATTTGAATGCTTGATTTCCAATTAGCGGTGCTATTTGGAGATGGGAACTTTAGGAGGTGGAGCCTTGCTGCTGGAGGAAGTATGTCACTGGGGGCAGGCTTTTTTAAATTTATAGCCTCACCACCTTCTTGTTGGGTCTCTCTGTTCCATGTTCCTGGTTGAAGATGTGATCTGTACACTTCTTGCTTTAGCCACCTGCTGCCGTGCCATCTTTGACTCTCCCCGTAGGATCATAAGCCCCAATAGACTCTTCCTTCTATAACGTCTGTAGGTTGCTTTGGAGTATGGGGTCTTATGTCGGTGACAAAGAGTAATGGTCCACCTCCTGGGTCTCACCAGCCTTCCCCTCTAGAGGATCAATTCAGAGGATACTGACATACCGCACACATGGGCATGAACACACATACACACACATATGGGGGGGAAGGAGAGCAGAGGGGGGGGGGAAGGAAGGAAGGAAGGAAGGAAAGAAGGAAAACATGGAAAATGCACTTGGTAGGAACACAGGCAACACACATGGTATCCTGGCCTCCTTGTATTGACCATTGCTTTCATTCTTGCTGCTCAGGTGACAGCATCTGGACCGGACAGCAATCCTAGAACCCACAGGGGCAATGCGTACAGCATCCATTGGTTCCTCTGCCGTGCTTACCCCCATCTTCTTCTGCTTGATATCCTCCAGGCCCCAGACAGCAAAGTCCTGGCTGTCTCCTGTCAGCAGCAGAGGGAGCCCATACTCTACCAAAAGAGATCGAGTGCCTCGTTATACTACGAAGCAGAAGGGACCAGGATTGTTGCTTCATGTCACACAGTATGTCCTCACAGACAGGGCTCTAATCTCCCCCGTACATCCCTGCTGCTATATCCATGCTCCATTGTGGGCCCATACACACAGAGTCACACTTCAAAAGCCTCAGGCGGCTCGGTGGGGGAGTTGGGGCTTCAGTGCAGCTCCTGCTGCATGTTGTTTTGTGTGCTGCCACCTCCCACGCCCAGGGTTTGTACCTTCACTGACTGCCTCCTGGCCATCTCTCAGCTATGGGGCATCAGCTGATCAGCTAGGTCATGAAAAATGTGATAAAAGTCGCCAATGATGGCAAAAATGCAGGAGGCAGGCCGACTGGTCAGTCTCCTGCCGCAGCAGTTGTAGATGAATGCCCGATTGCCTGCTCAGGATTTCTCTCCCTGGCAGAGCGTCATGGTTGGCACCTCCCTGATCCTTTACTTTTGGTGCTCTTGCTCTCTAATCTGTCAAACAGAGCGATGAACTCCTCTCTCCCACATCAAATTTACTTACACAGACAGATGTGTAAGTAAATGATTAGCAAGAACAGAGGCTGAGATACTAACTGACAAATGTTTCTTCAACTACACTGGCATCCCTTGGGGACACGGCAAGTTTGGCTACAGGCTCTTACTGTCAAGCTAATCTCATGATTTCTACCCAATGCATATAAAAGTTATTCTTTCAGGACTGGATAGATAGGTCACCAGTGTAGAAGGAGCGGCGGGCTGCATCCCGCCACCCGGCTAGCTTTACACCTGAAATAACAACACACAAATTGTATTCTTTTAAACACTGCTTGTCCCATTAGCTCTAGCCTCTTACTGGCTAATTCTCACATCTTGATTCACCCATTTCTAATAATTTGTGTAGCACTACAAGGTGGTAGCTTACCGGGAAGGATTTTAACCTGCGTCCATCTTGGAAAGGAGAGCTATATTGTCTGCCTTTATTCTGTCTACTCCGCCTACCTAATTTTCTGTCCTATCAAAGGGCCAAGGCAGTTTCTTTATTAACCAATGAAAGTAGCACATAGACAGATGACCCTCCTCCATTACACCAGTTAAAAGCACTCATTGCTCTTGTAAAAGCTATGGGTTTGGTGCCCAGTATCACATGCCACCGTACAACTTATGACTGCAGTCCAGGGCATCCAGCATCCTCTTCTGGCTTCTCAGGGGCACTCACATGCACACAAACACACTCAAGCACACACATGCTACACATAAAAATAAAACAATAGTTTAAATTTATGTTTACCATGCTGGTTGGTTTTTTTGGTTGGGCTTGCTACAAGCCATAGTCACCTGGGAAAATGTCTTCATTAGATTGTTCTGTAGCCAAGTCTGTGGGGGCGTTTTCTTGATTAATGACCGACTTAGGAGAGCCCAGCTCACCATGGGTGGTGCTACCCCTAAGCAGGTGGTCCTGAGCTGTATAAGAAAACAGGTTGAGCAAGCCATGGTGAGCAAGTCAGTAAGCAGCTTTCCTTCATGGTCTCTGCCTCAGTTCCTG